GGATATACAGTTTTCCCAGCACCATTTGTTGAAGAGACTATTCTCTCATTGTGCATTCTTGGCTCCCTGTCAAAATCCACTCGACAATATATGCATGGTTTTTATTTCTGGGATCACTGCCATTGGTTTATATGCCTGTCTGTACTATACCATATTGTTTTGATTTCTGTAGCTTTGTAATATAGTTTGAAGTCAGGAAGTGTAATGCCTCTAGATTTTTTTCTTTTTTCTCAGGATTAATTTGGCCCTTTGTGGTCATTTGTGGTTCCATATGATTTTTTAAAATATTTTTTAGGGAGGGAAGAGAGGGAGAAAGAGAGAGAGAGAGAAACACCAATGTGTGGTTGCTGGGGGTCATGGCCTGCAACCCAGGCATGTACCCTGACTGGGAATCGAACCTGCGACACTTTGGTTCGCAGCCCGCTCTCAATCCACTGAGCTATGCCAGCCAGGGCCCCATATGAATTTTAAAGTTTTTAAAAAAATATTTCTGTAAAAATGCCATTGGGATTTTGACAAGGAATGTATTGAATTTGTAGATTGCTTTGGGTAATATGCACATTTAAACAATACTGAGTCTTCCAGTCAACAGGAAATGTCTTTCCATTTGTGTCTTATTTAATTTCTTTCATCACCGTTCTATAATTTTCAGGATACAAGTTTTTTACCTCCTTTGTTATGTTTAATCCTAGGTATTTTACTCTTTTGCTGCTATTGTAAATGGGGTTTTCCTAATTTCCTTTTAGGTAGCTCATTGTTAGTGTATAGAAATGCAACTAATTTTTGTATGTTGATTCTTTGTCCTGCAATTTTATTAAATTTGTTGGTTAGTTGTAATAGTTTGTTTTTCTAAAATACAATCTTAAGGTTTTTCTCTATATAAAATTATGTTGTCTGCAAACAGGAAAATTATACTTTTTCCTTTCTGATTTAGATGTCTTTTATGTATTTTTCTTGCCTGATTGATCCAACTAGGACTTTCAATACTATGTTGAGAGTAGGTATCCTTGGCTTGTTGCTGATCTTAGAGAAAAAAGTTTCAGTTTTTCAATCTTGAATATGATATTTAGCTATGGCCTTTATTATGTTGAGGCCATTTCCTCTAATCCTAGTTTGTTGAGAGTTTTTCCCAAAGCAGAGTGTTGAATTTTGTCATATACTTTTTCTGCATCTATTGAGATAATCATGTAATTTTGAGGGGGTTATTTTTAAATTTTAATTATTTATTTATTTTAGATTTTATTTATTTATCTCTAGAGAGAGGGCAAGGAAGGGAGAAAGAGAAGGAGAGAAACAGCTATGTGGGAGAGAATCATTGATCAGTTGCATCCTGCATGCATTCAGACCTGGAACCAAACCACAACCAAGGCATGTGCCCTAACGGGGAACCAAACCAGTAACCTTTTACTTTGGGGGATACTGCCCAACCAACTGAGCTACACTGGTCAGGGTAATTTTTATTTATTTTATTGTATTTTTTCCATTATCATTATTCTCCCTATATTCTCTCTTCCACCTTCACCCATCCTCCTCCCTCCTGCTATCACCACTCTGTTGTCCATGTCCATGAATTCTTCTCTTTTTTTTTCCTTTTTGCTCAATCCCTCTACCACCCAGCCTTCTCCCACCTTCAAAGCTGTCAGCCTGCTCTTTCTATGAGTCTGTCTCTGTTCTGCTTGTTAGTTTAGTTTGTTCATTAGATTCCACATATGAGTGAAATCATGCGGTATTTGTCTTTCTGTGGCTGGCTTATTTCTTTTCTTCTTTTTTAAGATTTTATTTATTCATGTGTAGAGAGAGGGGAAGAGAAGGAGAGAAAATATCAATGTGTGGTTGCCTCTCCCATGCTCTGTACTGGGGACCTGGCCTGCATCCTGGGCATGTGCCCTGACTGGGAATTGAACTGGCGACCCTTTGGTTCACAGCCCGTGCTCAATCCACTGAGTGACACCAGCCAGGGCCCGACTGGCTTATTTCATTTAGCATAAAGTTCTCTAGGTCCATCTATGCTGTTGCAAAGGGTAAATTGTTTCCTTTTCACAGGTGGGTAATATTCTATTGTGTAAATGCACTGTAGCTGTTTTGTCTACTCTTCTACTCATGGACACTTGAGCTGCTTCCATATCTTGGTGATTGTAAGTAATGCTGCAGTGAACATACGGGAGCATATATTCTTTCAAATTAGGGTTTCAGTTTTCTTTGGATAAATTCCCAGAAGTGGAATTGCTGGGCCAAAAGAGCAGTTCCCTTTTTAATTTTTTGAGGTAACTCCATACTGCTTTCCACAATGGCTGTGTCAATCTGCATTTCCACCAACAGTGCACAAGGGTTCCCCTTTCTCCACATCTTTGCCAATACTTGTTTGTTGATTTATTGATGATGGCCATTCTGAGAGTTGTGAGGTAATATCTCATTGTGCTTTTAATTTGCGTGATGGCTATTGAAGTTAAGCATCTTTTCATATGTCTTTTGGCCATCTGTATGTCCTCTTGGGAGAAGTGCCTATTCAGGTCCTTTGCTCGTTTTTAATTGGACTATATATTTTTTTTGGTGTTTAGTTTTAAAAGTTCTTTATGAATTTTGGATATTAGTTCCTTATCAGATGTTTCATCAAATATGTTCTCCCATTCAGTGGGTTATCTTTTTATTCTGTTGATGACTTCCTGTGCTGTGCAAAAACTTTTTAGTTTGATGTAATCCTGTTTGTTTATTTTCTCTTTGGTTTCCCTTGCCTGAGGAGATAAATCAGAAAATATGTTGCTATGAGAAATGCCCAAGATTTTACTGCCTATGTTTTCTTCTGGGATTTTTATGGTTTCAAATCTAACATTTAAATTTAAGTCTTTAATCCATTCTGAGCTTATTCTTGTGTGTAATGTAAGAAGGTGGTCTAGTTTAATTTTTAGCCCATTTATGGTTTTGCCTCCTTTGTCTAATATTAATTGGCTATAAAGGTGTGGGTTTATTTCTGGGCTCTCTATTCTGTTCCATTGTGTCTGTTTTTATGCCAGTACCATGTTGTTTTGATTACTATGGCCTTGTAGTATAGTTTGATATTAGGTAGCATGATTCCTCCAACTTTGTTCTTCTTTCTCAAGATAACTATTACACAGGGATTTTTTTTGTGATTCCATATAAATATTTGGAATATTTGTCTTAGTTCTTTGAAATACACCATTGGTATCTTGATTGGAACTGTATTGAATCTGTAGATTGCTTTGGTAAGTAGGGCATTTTAAGGATGTTGATTTTTCCTGCCCATGAACACAGAATATGCTTCCACTTATTTGTATCTTCTTCTGTTTTTTTCTTCAGTGTCTTATAATTTTCCAAGTACAGGTCTTTTACATCCTTGGTTAAATTTATTCCTAGGTATTTTATTCTTTTTGAAACAATTGTGAATTGGATTGTTTTCTTTTTTTTTTTCAAATATTTTACTTATGTATTTTTAGAGAAAGGGGAAGGAAGGGAGAAAGAAAGGGAGAGAAACATCGATGTAAGAGAAAACATCGATTAGTTGCCTCTCATACGCACCCCACCTGGAAACCCAACCCACAACCCAGATAAATGCCCAGGATAGAAGCAGAGACCTTTTGCTTTGTGGGACAATGCCCAATGAACTGAGCCACACCAGTAAGAGCTGGGATTTTTTTCTTAATTTCCTTTTCTGGTATTTTATTATTGGCATATAAAATACAACTGATTTCTGGATATTAATTTTGTATCCTGCTACTTAACTGAATTCATTTATTAGTTCAAGTGGTTTTTTGGTGGAACCTTTAGGGTTCTCTGTATACAGTGTCATGTCATCTGAAAATGATTACAGTTTTACTTCTTTCTTTCCAATTTGGATGCCTTTTATTTCTTCTTATCTCATTGCTGTGGCTAGGACTTCCAGTACTATGTTGAATAAGAGAGGTGAAAACGGACATTCCTGCCTTGTTCCCATCTTAAGGGGAGTACTTGTAGTTTTTCCCATTGAGTATGATGTTGGCTGTGGGTTTGTCATATATGGCCTTTATTATATTGAGGTATGTTCTCTCTATTCCAACTTTGCTGAACATTTTTATCACAAATGGGTGCTGGGAGATGATCATGTAATTTTTATCCTTCATTCTGTTAATGTGGTGTATCACATTGATTGATTTTCATTTTTTGAAACATTCTTGCATCAGAAGAATACATCCCATGTGATCATGATCCTTTTAATGTGTTGTTGAATTCAGCTTGCTAGTATTTTGTTGATGATTTTTGCATCTATATTTATCTGGGATATTAGTCAGTAGCTTTATTTTCTTGTGGTGTCTTTGTCTGGCTTTGGTATCAGTGTAATTCTGGGCTCATGAAATGAGTTGGGAAATACTTCCTCTTTTTCATTTTTTTTGAAGAGTTTGAGAAGTATTGGTGCTAATTCTTATTTAAGTGTTTAGCAGAATTCACCTGTGAAGTCATCTGGTCCTGGGCTTTTCTTTGTTGGGAAATTTTGATTACTCATGTAGTGTCCATACTAGTTTAAGATCTGTCCTGACTTTTTATTTCTTCAGTCCTTTGGGGATCCCCTTTGGAAAATTTGAAGGTTTGGATGCATGAACCAACATCTTCCTTCCTGAGTCAAGCTGGAGATGAGGGGATTTTTTTCTGACTTTGCTGTGCCAGGCACAGGGTTTCTTTTAGGAGGGCATCCTAAATCTCCATACCAACTTCAGTAAGTCTGGATTTGATTTCTTCTGGTACTCAGGAAACTCTCAATTAGTTTCTGACTTCTCACAAAGAGGATTTATTCATGAATTGTTGCTGAATTTGAATATGGGGGGAAGAAGTGTCTTGGACTTCCTACTCTGCCATCCTGCTGACATTCCTCTGCAGAGGGAGATATTTTTAACCACCTTCAACTTTTATCATTATATAATTTTAATGCTAAAGGCATCATTTGGAGGCTGAATTTCCTAATACTTTACTTACTGGGAATAATTTATTGATATTATATTTATTCCATTTAGATAACATGAAATATCCTATTTCATTAATGCCTGAACCCTGTATAACATTAAAGGGAAGCAATGGATATTTGCATCTTTTCTTCATTCCAAGTAAGTTCAAAGTTTTGTTTTTGTAGATCAGTTAAAAGGTTCAAAAATATCAATGACAAATAATTGTGTTCCAAATGTACATGTATTCAAAGTCTTTGTGTGTCAGTAGTCTAGGCACGGCTTCGCTGTGTCTGTTTCAGGATCTCCCACAAGGTTGCAATCAAGCTGTCTGCCAGGACTGGGATCTCTTCTGAAGGCTCAAACAGGGAAGGATCCACTTCAGTTTTCACATGATTATTGACAGTTATTCACTTCCAGTCTGGCTGTTGGCCAGCTCTCAGTTCCTTGTGATATGGGCCTTTTCAACTTAGCTTGTTGCCTCATCAAAGCCAGCAAAGGGGACAGTCAGCTAACAAGATAGAAGTCACCATCTTATGTAGCTTAGTCATGGAAGAGTCATTCCACCAATTTTGCTTGACCTATTTGTTAGAAACAAGTCACTATGCTCACACTAATGGGGAGGGGACTACATAATGGCATGGGGATAAAGTGGGAATAATTTGAGACTTCTAACAATCTAATGGGTATATCCTTTGTTAGCCATTATCTATTCAGATGATAAGTAAAGTTGGATTTCCACTAGTTAAAGATCTGTGTATGAGCAAGGCAGGACATATTTTTCTAAAAATGACCTTAAAAAGGATGATTTGGGGATAAAAAAAGACAACGTTTTTATTTTGTGTTGTCTTGTTTTTCCTCTCCATGATTTTAGTTGGGTGTTGGTGATACACTGGGCTGGACCTGAGTGTTTGGGAAAACAAATAAACCTTTTATCCTCTCATACCAGTTAGCTTTGTTGTATGTAAATCCTAGGATCCCAGGAAAGTTCAGCTCTCATCATCTGCATTATTGTTTTCATCATCATTTATAGTATAGCTCATATTTGGAGCATATACTTTACAAAGTGCTTTCACATAAGTAAGTTTAAATAAAGATTCCCCCCACCCCTGATTTTAGTTTTCCATTTTACAAGAAAAGAGGTAGCTGAGAACCCAGAAATAATAGACAAAATTCATGTTTCAATATTTCCGAATTTAATTGTTCTACTTGTATTTGGGTACTTTGTTTCTGCATTCATTTATTCTTAAAAAATGCATAGTCTATTTCAAGTATTGTGATTGATACCAAGAACTCATAGATAAATAAGACATTCTCTTGACCTTCAAGAATCTCTCAGTGCAATTGGAGGGACAGACCTGTAAAAAACATGGCATGGTAAGTGAAGTGACTGTAGTGATGCTTGATGATAGTGCAGAGCAAAGAACAATCAACTCTATTCATTTGCCAAGGTTAAGAAGTAATTTTTTTTTCTAAAATTCTGGCTAAGGCTCTACAATTTCTCTCTCTTAGGTTTTGTTTTCTGGTCTATGTGGTGTGCTTTACCCCTAGATGTTTGGCAGAAGTGATTACTGACATTATGAATGACCTAATTTTCATGCAAACCCCTTGTACTTACTCACAGGAAGCAAGTTGTATCCTTCCAGACCCAAGTAATAATAATACAATATGGTATCACTCAGGGTTCTCTGAAAAGCAGATGACAAGAAGGAATTAAACATATAATAGATTTATCTGGAGAAACTGCTGATGAACAATGAAGGGAAGAGGAGGCCCAAGTAGGCAAGGAGAGGGTTCAGACTGAGGTACAGATCTGATGCTTTTGAAATGAGAGAGGGAAGGAAGGAGAATTTGGTAAGATTGTCATCAGACCAAAATGTATCCTTGAGATCCTCTCAGCCAGGTCAATGGGGAGCCTTAGAGCAAAGATTGCCTATCATAAGTGTCCCATGACAGGCAGGAAGGAATAGGCTGGCTCTAGTGTCCTTATCAGTGCTCAGTCATTAGAGGAGCAACCTGTAGGGGGCTGGCCTCTGGGTAAGAAGGATACAAAAGTGCAACAGCTCGGGGCTGTCTGCCAACTACTTTCATTCCAGCAGGTTCTTTGGAAGGAAAGTTTGAGTAGTGCATCTCTGTGGCCACCACGGGTAACTTAATCATTTACTAAGTATGACATTTGTATCGCATTATCTTAATTTAGTAAGAAAATAGTTATTCAGTTATGTTTTTATAGAGCTCTGCAATTATGACATGAGTTTATCTAGAATATGCTAGAATTTCTGTGAAAAATGTGGGGCCACATTATAGAAATCAACTTATTTTTATGTGCTATCTCTACTTCTGTTCAGTAAGAGCTATAAGTACAAATTGAATCAAAAATAGGTTGGAATGGAGATTATTTATTTTGAGACTTTATAACCTTGCTAGTAAATTATATGTATAACACTAACTGATTCACAAAAAAAGCTGGACCATAAGTCTCCTTGAAAATTATTTCTGGTAGTTCCTGGAGTTTTCTTAGGTGAGGTCAAAAACAGTGTTCTCTGCCCTGGATGGTGTGGCTCAGTTGATTGAGCGATGGACTGTGAACCAGAGGATTGCGGGTTCAATTCCCAGTCAGGGCATGTACCTGGGTTGCGGGCCAGGTCTCCAGTAGGGAGCGCTCATGTGGCAACCACACATTGATATTTCTCTCCCTTTCTTTCTCCCTGCCTTCCTCTCTCTAAAAATAAATAAATAAAATCTTTAAAAAAAAAACAGTTCTCACACTGCAGCCACCAGTTTCTTGTCTCTCATCCCAACATGCACATGAATATCCCTAGCCTGCTGAACCATGAGAGTATACCTCACATTAACCACCTTTCATGTGGCTGACATGACCACAGTGGTGTCCAAGGGCAAGAAGCTTCTCAAGATGTAAACAGCACTTTCTGGGAGTCATTGAAGACCAGGAACATACTGTATTCCATGTAGAAATGGAAGAAGGTCCCTTGTCCTACCTTGTCTTTGGACACCTCAGCAGTACTGCTGATTCCCGTGTCTAAGGAATTTCCCATAAAACCAGCTCTTCAACTTCTGCTCACGTCTATGGTTTTTGAGAGGTTCAGGCTAAAGTCCGTGGAATGAACCATGAACCACTGTTTGAAGCAGACCCCGTTATGTTCTTTATACTTTACCATCTAAGTAGACAACTGGACTGGAGACAAATTAGGGAGTTTTGTTGTCTTTTGGGCTCAGAGTAATGAGGGCCTGCATTAAGACCATGGAAATGAGGATGAAATGAAGATTAGTAAGGTTTATTGAGGTTGGGAATTCTCATGCTGATTTGTGGATAAAGATGAGGAAATCAATATAGGATTTGTAGGGTGAGCTAATGAGCAACATCTGAATAGAGATATTGAATGCATATATGAGACAGTACTCAGGAGGAAGGTTGAGACCAAAGATGACATTTTGGGAGTTAGCATCCTATGTGGCACTTAAAACCAGAGAGACTTTGCAGAATAAATGCTATTGAGGAGAACTGAGGATAGAACCTTAATAAAGAGGAGTAAATGAACAGAGTGAGGAGAAGTCAGAAAGATTGAAAGACAAGCAGAATAGAGTGGGGGCAACAACACCAAATGGAGAGTTTTAAGGAAGGAGTTGACAGTTCTGTTACACACGGCCAAGTCCAAGTTAAAGGTACAAAACTTTTCCTTTGGTTATGGCTACACAGTGAGTTTTAGTGACCTTATTGGGAAAATATTTTCAATGAGGTGGTGGTTATAATAAATTATTTTCATTATAAAAAAGATTGTACATGCTTTCTACTTGGGCAAACTGAGTAACTTATAAGAATTGAGCCAAATACAATGTTTACTGTGTTTTTTCATGTTAATTGGGAATATGGTGATCATGAAGCTATAATAAGTAGCTCATCACCCAAGTTTTAATCAAAAGATTTAATTTTGTTCTCCAAAAAATCTGTCACCAAAGCTACTAAAAAGTGGGCATGAGTTGATTATCATGAATTCCTTTTCTTTCTTTGAACTTCCTAGCAAAACTGCAACAAGATCAGAAAATTTTATATCTTCATTTGATAGCTTTTTTTTTAAATAGGTCCCTCTATTTTTAGTCATAGTACATAATTGTTATAATGGAGTATTCTCCTTGATTACAGTCTATCCTCAAAACTAGTTATCCTCTCAAAACCTCAGTTTCCACAACTCCAGAACTAAGATCACAATACTCACATTATGGGTAGTTGTGATAATTGAATGAAATAATGTTGGAAAAACACAGGGTACATTGTATGTATATAATAAATATTAATTATTATTTATAAAATAATCTCTTATATGAGAGAGTAATGGGATTTTTTTTCTTTTTAAGGAAGAGACATTAAAAAGTTGTATTTCAATCTGTATTTATCTTTTAATACCTTGGAGTTCCCAATGCGCAAAGAAGTTATTTGCCGAGGATCTGATGATGAGTATTCATTTTGCAGAGCTCTAAAAGGAGGTAAGCATGTAATTGATTGCTCTCAGACTAGAATATAATACTTTATGAGACTGTTATAGGAATTAAATACACTGAAAGTATGAAGTTTCTTTTCTGATAATAATTCTTTATTTCCATTCAAAGTTTTTACTTTTAGCTGTTTAAATGGCATTTTACAATTATGTTACTGAGTTCCTTGAGTGTGTTTGAAGGGCTATTAAAATTTTTATCTTCTTCAAATTAATATTGTGCATTTATCCTTGGTTATGAATCTCTTTTTCTAAACATTACACTTATATTTTTCATTGAAACTCACTAGATTTTACTATACTGCTACATTGGTTTCTTCCATGTCTTTCTCCTTTTTTTTCCACCCCGGAATTTTTCACAGAATCATAAAATTTTAGAGTTTAAGACCTTAAGGTCACTTATTGAAAACTCATGAATTTTTTCTTAATAATTTTTAAACTACTAAATAGTTTAAATAGTTTAAAGCATTATAAATATCATGCTGTCACATTACCAAAATTAGAAATTATAAACTAAAGAAGTCACCGAGTCATATTTCTAAAGTCATTTTGGAGTATTTCCTTTTATGCATATTATTTATGTAATTGTAAGTATACTTGACTACAATTAAAACAATTTATTTAATTTTTTGGCTAAATAACCACATCCATGTGATTCAAAAATCAGACTATGAATATTTTACAGTGAAAGCTGTCCCTTAATGTGTTATGTCCTGGTTCATTTAACTGTTCTCCTATTGGACATTAGTGTCCTTCTGGTATTTGTACTGTTATAAATAATACTATAATTAATATATTTCTATATGTAATTTTTCTCACATTTTAGATTTGAATATTCCCATATTTAAAAGAAGGAATTGTATAGCAGCTCCCAGAGAGATTTTTAAGTTTAAATAGTTTTAGTAGAACTGTGCTTTTATTCACATAAGACCAAATTGCTTTTCTAAAGGATTATACCAATTTATATATTGTACCACCAACAAAGTGTAAGTATAGTAGATTAATCCCTGTCTTGTTAACATTGGGTATTATTGTTTAAAAGGATAAGAAGTTTTCTTTGTTTTTTTTTTAAAATATTTTATTTACTTATTTTTAGAGAGGGAAGGGAGGGAGAAAGAGAGAGAGAGAGAAACATCAAGGTATGGGGGCCATGGCCTGCAACCCAGGCATGTGCCCTGACTGGGAATTGAACCTGTGATGCTTTGGTTCACAGCCCGCACTCAATCCACTGAGCTATGCCAGCCAGGGCGGATAAGAAGTTTTTTAAAAACTTTATTAGAAAAAACTTAGACTTAATTTTTTATTAACATTTTTATTACTATTGAAGTTGAATATTTTCTCATATAATTATTTATCATTAAGCTGTACCCACCTTGTTTAAAAAAACAACTTCAGGTAGTTTACATGCATATGTTAAATTTAGCAACATAGTATATACTAGGTATAGGTGGCACCAAAACTAAAAAATAATTATAGGGAATTAATGGAATTAGAGTAATATAAAGATTTATAACAGAAAGGGCTTATACTTACTTTGAAAAGGACATCAGTTTGATTATATGATTGTACAACTGCTAGCAGTCTCCAAGAAAATAGTTTTTTTGCCCTGACTGGTATGATTCAGTAGATTTGGTGTCATCCCACAAACCAAAAGTTCACTGGTTTGATTCACAGTTGGGGCACATGCATGGGTTGCAGGATAGGTCCCTGGTTAGGGCATGCAAGAAGCAACCAATCATTTCTCTCCCTCTCTTTCTCCCTCCCTTCTTCTCTCTCTAAAAATAATAAATAAAATCTTTTAAAAAAGGAAATAGTTTTTAAGTAAATCAGTGTGCTTGCTGTGTGTCTCTCAGCCATCATCTGTCCATTTCTCTACTTTATCTGCCACCCCCAATCACATGCAAGTCATGGAATTGACTTTGCTGGTGAATCTGGGCTCAGAGTTTCACAGACCTGAGTCAGTGTCCCAGCTTTCCCACCTACTAGCAGTCTGCCTTGGGTCACAGTCACCTCATTTTCCTCATCTGTAAAATGGGCACAGTGAAACTGATTTTACATGGTTTCAAGGATTAATTAGAGCTTGTGTATAAAATAGTGCTCAGAGTAAGAATTTAAGAATGATGTTATTAAATAATAAATATTCATGTTGATTCCTTTTTTTTTTTGGTCCTGATTTTCTAGTTCTGGCATTTTTACAAGTGAGGAAACCAATGACTGAGTGGTTCAGAACTGTGCCCAAGGTCATTCAGAAAACTAGTAACTGAGCAGCCTCCGGACTCTTAAGGCCTACTTTTCTACTGTGCCATGCTTCCTCTATGGAAACAAATCCTCTTGGCATATTACTGTTTTTTTAAACAATTGTTCACGATGATTTCACATAATCTTTGGGGATTATGTGACATTTTATTTGAATTTTTAAAGTTTCACCTTCTAGAGATCTCACATATGTCAGACTGAACCCAGCCTGCCTGCTTCTTCCTTCCTTCCCTCCTTCCCTTCCACAACATCTGTTGAACCTAATTTGAACAGGTCATGATTTAGACCCTGTGATCCAAAGTTGCACGATAGGGTCTCCATCTTCAGGTCTCTCTGTTCTGGGGAAGACAGTCATGGGAACAAAAATGACAACAAAATGTCATAAAAGCTAATCAAATTTATATGCTCTTAGTTTTAACTATATATGTAGTTATCAATTTACTGTGATAGAAAAACTCAGATAAAGCTTCAGAGAGTATTTTGTTTGAGTCTTGAATAAGAGAGCAAGGAGGAAGGATGTTCCCTGGAGAGGAAAGAGTATATGCAGACACACCTAGCCGAGAAAGGATGTGGCTTATTTGGAGAGTAGCTTTTTTTTATAGCTGGAGCAGAATGTGCTTGTAGGGAATTGCTGAAGATGAGCCCAGAACAGGGGGGCAGGAACAGGCATGTAAACCATGTGCAAAACACTGGTCTGCAGCTTGTCATCAGTGGTTAGGGATGCCCCACAGAGATGTCCATTTCTGCAGATAGCAAGTGTCCATATAGAAGGCAGAGGGGATTGGCTGGCAGGACACGTGGGTGGAAGGAAGAGCAGCTGAGAGATGGTGAGAGGCCATGAGAGCTGAACAAAGATGGTGGACCTGGAATCAAGGGGAGGAGACCAGGAGAGCATATTGGGAGACAGGACAGGCAAAACATGCTGACTGAATTGACGTGGCAGACAAAGATTAGGTAAATCAAGAACCAGTTGAAGGTCAGTGACAGGGTGGATAGATGTGCCATTATTGAAATGATATGTGCAAAAAGCATATTTTTAAACATAATGAGTTATGATTTGGGCATGTTGAGATGCAGGTAATTTTAGAAGGTTCAAATAAACATGTTCATCTGGCGGCCAACTATATAGGCTCAGAGCTCAGGACATTTTGATTTAAGAAACATTGACCCTTTAAAGTTTGGGAATTAAATTAGTAAGTATCATACATATCTACTTTTAAAATAACTTTCCTTCCTATTATACCCTGCTAAAGGAGCAGCAATATTACATATGCATATATATAACTTGGGATGAAGCATATTAGCACTTGCCTGTGTATCACTTATTCACTTCGAGGCCTTAAAGTTTGCATCTCCTAATGCTGGTCCTGAGAGAAGCTTGCAGTGGCAGTAGAACCCCAGGACAATGGGAGCTAGGGTGTAAGACCTATTATTTCTTTACAATTTTGTTTGGGACTGCAGCTGCCAGTAGTAAAGTGTCAAAGGTGCAGCCATGCTACCAAAAAAGAAGTCACTTAGTGATGACCAAGACGTTTTTGTGTTTTGTTTGCAGAGACTGTGAATACATCAGTGCCATTCTCCTTCAAGGGGATACTATTCTCTAAGGTATTGTCCAAGAGTCATTTTGTACTTTCTTAATCTTTGGTGCTAACAGATATGTGAAGAATTTGAATAAATAATTCTCAACTCTTAAAAATTGTGACTTAAAATTAAGATATTCAAGATTTTTTTGCTACTTTTATTTGGTTTGGGATATTTTTCCATTTCTTTCTAAAGCAGCGGTCCCTGAACTTTTTGGTACCAGGGACCAGTTTCATGGAAGACAATTTTTCCATGGATGGGGTGGTGGTGGAAAATGGTTTCAGGACAATTCAAGAGCATTACATTCAAGCTCACCACCTGCTGCACAGCCCAGTTCCTAACAGGCTTGGACACATACTGGTCCACGGCCCAGAGGTTGGGGACTCCTGTTCTAAAAAATGTGGAAATATAACAAAGTTACATGAAAGAAAGTTCGTTTTAATTTCATGTTTCTTCTGTAACATACATGACTAAAAAGTAATACAAATGTTCATTATTAATATGTTGAATGATTTTGGGGCAAATGCATGGTATAGCTGCTGCCTAGAACTCTGTCTCCATTAGTAATAACCATGTGACTTTAGATGTTTGCATTAGATACTTAGCAATGAAATTTTGCACATTTCACTTTTGGTGACTAAAAATAAACTTAATCCATATTCTTAACTGATTTTGTTTACAATTTATATCTAATGTTTGGAAATCTCATAGGTTAGTCTCAAAAAATTGTTAAACATGCTCATAATTAGGAAATAAATGTTTGCTGAATTTAGACATACAAAATTTCATCTCACTAAAAAACTGAGGAAATGATAACCCATCCAATTTAAATGATTCTTTCCTAGTAAGAAAAATGTTTATAGAAGTCTTGCAAAGTAGAAGCATCTAACATTTTATATTACTTGTGTTTCTTATTCCTCATTTTAGGGACGATACAGATTTGTTGTGGAAGCCATCGCAGGGAATACTGAAGAAATGCTCTTTTGTTTGAATTTTACCATCATACACTACCCTGATATCAATTAGGATAAATCTAGTTTATTTTTATTATTCCAAGATTTCATTCTTCACTTAATATTTTTTTATTTTTGCACAGTGTGTTAGTTTGCTAAGGCTGCCATAACAAATACCATGCAATGGGTGGCCTGAACAATAGAAATTTATTTTCTCACAGCTCTGGTGGCCAAGAACCTGAAACCAGTGCAGGTGGATTTGGTTCCTTCTGAGGCTTCTCTCTTTAGATTATAATCTTCTCCCTGTGTCTTCACATGGTCTCCCTGTATGCGAGTATATGTCTTAATTGCCTCTTCTCATAAGGACACCAGTCATATTAGATTAGGGCCCATCTGTATGACCTTAGTCACCTCTCTAAAGATCCTGTCTCTAAATCCAGTCACATCTGAGGTACTGGCAGTTAGGACTGCAGCATAAGAATTTTGGGAGGACAAGTCTACCCATAACACACAGGTAATGTAATCTCTCCCATTGGTCAACTTTTCTCCATTTCCTGCCTCTACTCTGGGGCAGGTTACCTGTGTTTCCTCCTGACTGATCTCCCTGTACCTGGTCAGGTGCCTCAGGTAATATATTCTTCAAAAAGGCAGTATCAATACTGCTTTCAAAATACAGGTCTAGTCATGTCACTACAAGGCAAATGGAACAAAACAAAACAAAAACTAACAAGGCTCTTCCTGGGGCTTTTGATTCATTTTGGGATAAAGTTGGAATCTTCGTGAGGACCTGCCAGGCCTTGCCCATCCTTTCCCTTTCCAGTTGCTTCTCTCATCACCTTCTCCTTGCTGTCTGTGTTCCAGAATGTGCCATTGTCCCTCCCATTCCAGAACCTTTGTCCACATGGTTCCCTCTGCCTCAACTCCACTCCTCCACTCTATGCCACACTCACCCCTGCGCCTCTGTAATGCATGTGGGTCTTTATCTTGGCTCTGGTGCTACTTAGGGAATTATCAGCAGGTAGTGCGGGGTTCACTTCATACACTTTGATACAGGGAAGAGGCCATCCTGAGGAAAATCGTAGAGAAGTCATATAATGCAGAGCCTTGCTGCCAGCCTCCTGTGGCCCTCTTGGTTCCCCAGGCCCTTTTTCTCCACCTCTATCTCACCCAGGCAGGGCCAGCTTTCTTTGGGGATGTGCTTTTGTAGACCTGTATCCCTTCCTTACAGCACCTAGCACTTATTTTGTTCTTATTTCAATTATCTATTGGACTAAGCTCCATGAGCCCAGTCAGCGTAGTCCAGTTTTGCTCAGCACTCTTGATCCAGCACCCAGTACAGAAACTGGCTTGATTTGTACTGAATCCATATTTGTCGAATGGATAAATGAGCATTTCCTTCTTGTAAAATATCCAAACAATACAAAATTATAGAAAGCAAAATATTCATGCAATCATTCTACTAATATTTATTGAGTATCTGCTGTATGTCAGGCCCTGTTCTAGATGCCAGATATACAGAATTTAACAACCAATATTTAAAAATCCCTGCCTTTATGGAGCTTATATTTTTATGGGAAGGGACTGAAAAAAACCCAAATAAATGGTATTAGTACTTTAGAAGCAAACATGCTATATGATATGAAAAGCAATATAGCAGGGTAAGAGGGTAGAGAATGGGAGAAGGTGCTGATCGCTCTTTTAAATAGGGGGTTAGGAAAGGCCTTCCCAGTAAGGGGATATTTGAATGAGTTAAGTGAGCAAAGCCACGTGGCTCTGGGAGCAAAGGTATTGCATGTTGGGAGAGCAGTTTGTGTCAAGGTCCTGGGGTCAGAGTGTGTCTGGTGTGTTTGAGGAGGAACAGGGCACTGTTCAAGTGAAATGAGTGAGGGGACATAAGGTCAGAACAGTGTGTGTGTTGGGGGGGGTGGATAGGCATGTGCTGTAAGGTTTGATAGGCTATTGTTAGGTCTTTAGCTGTTGCTCTGAATGAGATGGAAAGCCACTGGAAGGTTCCATGCAGGAGGATGACAGCTTGCATTTTTAAAAGGCTTATGCTGGCAACCATCTGCTTGGGGAAGGGAAAAAAAAAAAAGACTTTTTGCAGGAATTTAGGTAGAAAAGGAAGGAGAAAGTTGGGAGGGTTTTCAAGTAAGCCAGGTAAAAGATAATAGAGAAGATGGTGAGAAGTGATCTCTGCAGGATATATTTTACAGACAACTGCAAAACTACTTCTGCCTGTGGGTTGGATGTAAGATATGGAACAAAGTGAGGAATCAGGGATGATTCCAATTTTTTTTTTCTTGAGCGAATGGAAAGATGGAGTTGCTGATATTTGAGACAAGAAGTCAGGAGGGAATTGGTTTTTAAAATACAGCTTTAAAAAAAGACAATTTCACAAACATCAGACATCACTTTTAATCCTTGTTTATTACTTTTTTGAGGACATCGATTTTGAGATGTATATTAGACATTTAAGTGGAGATTTTGCAAGGGCAGTGGATAAATGAGTCTGAAGTTCAGGAGAGAGTTTTGGGCTGGAGATAAATATTAGAAAACTGTCAAAATACAGAGAGAAGGAGTGTAGGTAGAGGAAATGGGAGGTCTAAGGACTGAACCCTGGACTGCTTTTGTCACCAAGAGGTTGGGGATTTAAGAGGAACCAGCAGGAGAGGAGTGACCATGGAAGCTGGAGGGAAACCTGGAATGTTGGTCTAGTGGAAGCAGGTGAAGAAATTGTTTCAACTGTTTTGATATGCTAAGTTAAATAAGATGAAGAAGACTAAGTGTTGTTCTTTAAATCTAGCAATGTGGAACTCATCTGTGATTTTTTAAAAAGATTATTCATTCTTTTTTAGAGAGCAAGGGAGGGAGAAAGAGGGCAAGAAATATCAATGTGTGGTTGCCTCTCATGTGCTCCCTACTGGGGACCTGGCCCACAACCCAGGCATGTGCTCTGACTGGGAATCGAACCAGTGAACCCTTGGATTGCAGGCCAGCACTCAGTCCAATGAGCCACACCAGTCAGGGCTCATCTGGGATTTGATGTCACCAATAGAGAGCCCTCTGCATTTCCCAAGCATGAATTCCAACTGTGTGCCTCCCAAATATGGGGGTCACATATTAAGCCCTGTGAAATCTCTCCTCTCTCAGATTGAGGTAGATGTGAAGGTCCTTTCCCACCTCTGTTTCACCCCTCAAGGGGTGGGGTTTGGAGATGAGGCTCACAGCACAGCTTTCCCTAAAACGCCCTCCACAAATCTTTAAGATCCTCCCTTGCATGAAAAGGTACCTTGAGCTTTTTATATACTTGCTGTAAATACTTGATATGCTTCATATATTTTTATGTACTTGGTATCTGATAACCAATTCCACTGCTTTTGAACCCTTAAACTCCAAGGGAGTTCAAGAGTTGTGGGGTGGGTCACCAGACACTTCCTGTTCCCTGATTTTGTTTTGGTATATGCCACATCCCCAGCTCCAGGGGCCAACCCTGATTGGCTAGATCAGCCAGTGTAAGGTAGTGGGGTATTCCCCAGGGGATTTTACTGGTTCATGTTGGACACATGAGTGAAGCTGGCTCAATCAGACTGCAGCAAAGGACTAAAATTCCTTGGCTGTCTCACTGTATGTAAATGAGGGGGGATGTTGATTCCATTTCTGCTGACAGTCATCCATCTCATAACCATAAGGGGAACCAGGCTTAGAATGAAAGAGAAGCTAATTTTAAAGGAAAAGTGAGGCATTTATAACATACATACACACATACATTTATATATATTATCTCATTTGCTGTCTTTTAGTTTGATTTATGGATACCAAAGAGCCACCTTGATTTTATTGACAGTGCTTTCTTACAGTGTGGGTGATGACTTTGCAGAGGTGCAAAGTCTTCCTCTAGGAAGAGGAAGGCCAGCTGACTGGATTGTAATATCTTGATGATCACCACATTCTGGGGGCATTATCTTCAGTTTTGATGGTAAAAAAACAAAACACAATGAAACAAAACCCCTCAATTTTCTTTCAGCTCAATCAGACTTCATCAGCATTAGTTTGGATACAAGTTTGGCTCTTGGGCTAAAGACCCTATGTGCAGTGACTTAAATCAGACAGCAGCTCATTTCTGTCTCATCTAGGACTGCTCTGGGGCCTCGAGGACCCAGGACCTTTTATCTTGCCCTGGTCGGAATGGTCCAAACTGACTCCTGACTATATCTGAGAACTAGATAGCACCTTTCCATTAACAACCCTAATTAAAGACAACTTTATAGCCCAGGCTGGTGTGACTCAATGGATTGAGTGCTGGCCTGTGAACCAAAAGGCTGCCTGTTTGATTCTCAGCTGGGGCACATGCCTGGGTTGTGTGCCAGGTCCCCATTTGGAGGCATGTAAGAAAAAACCGATCCATGTATCTCCCACACAACAGAGAGAGGGAATGTTTCTCTCTCTCCCTTTCTCCCTCCCTTCCCCTCTCTCTAAAAATAAAGAAGTAAAATCTAAAAAAATACACCTTTTAGTAAAAGACAATTTTATAAATATCAGCATCACTTTTAATTCTTGTTTATTACTGGCCTATCATTGTTCATAAAGAGTTAATGACTTGTAAAAATATCCCTTATATATTGTCCTTGTGTTCTTTCTCTTGGAGTTGTTTTAGGGCTTTAGCATAATTGCTCTTTAAATTACTTCACTGTATTTTATAGTATCCTAACTGGCTGAGTGAATCTCAGATCTCAATTCATCCCATATGCCCCACTATTAAGAAAACAAAAGTTAATGGAGCAGAATTTTCCCTTACACCTGAACTATGTCAAGACCTCATATTTCTCCTTTCAGTTTCTCTCTGCTCTGTTTAAATAATTGGTTTCACTTTTTAATGATTCCTCGGTTGAGCTTTATAAGAGTTGTTCCCGGTGATTTCCATGTTGTCCGTGGAAGAGTAAATTTCATTTGTGAAGTTATGAAGTAATTTGCAGCTATTACATTATGCTATCTTTCTGAAGTTATTTTAAATTCACATCCTTTGTTCTTTTTCTTGTCTCCTCTCTAGTGAGTAACTATAATTGTTTTTAGAAATTTCCCCTACAAACATAATTTAAAGCAATCCTAAAAATAGCATTTCTTTTATTCTGATTAGTTTTCAGCAGCATCATAAGCATATCATGCATGGAAAACCCTGTGGATTGTGGAAATGGTCAGTTCCCTCACACTGATTTTTTTTAGGGATTAAGAAAAGAGCAAAAGAGAACCAGAGGCGTAGAATCAGTGAACAGATTGACAGCTATAAGTGGGAGGGGTGTGTGTGGGGGGGTCTGATTGAAGGAAAGTGAAGGGATTAGTCAAAGAAGGACCCATGGACATGGGCAATAGTGAGGAGACTGACTGTGGAAGTGTGGGGTGGGCTGGGTGGACAGGGGCAAAGGGAGGAAAGGTGGGACAACTGTAATAGCCTAAACAATAAAATATTTTAAAGTGTTAAAAAAAGATAAAAGGAAAGAAAAGATCAATCATGATCATAATGGTTTAATTGTGTGACCCTGGGCAGCTGAGGCTAAGAGATTGTCATGGATTGCTGTTTTGCATAGAGAACTGAGGTGGCCAATTTTTAAATGAGCCAGAAGGCCCAGATTCACAAAGCCAGAGGATGCTGAGGACATGGCTCTTCTGAGATTGGTCCCTTGAGGCCAGAAGGTTCAGGTCAATCTTGCAAGTCCTCCCACAGAGCTACATTAACATAAACTTGTCCTGATAATACTTTAAGATGAACACAATTGGAAAATTTTAGATAATGTATTTTCTTTTGCTATTTTTAATTTGAAATAGTTCTTCAAAGGGTATTGACAAGTTAAAAAAAATAACAGGTAGAAGGGTCTGTGGAGCAGTTCTGTAATTTAAAATTCTTTTTTCTTTTTTAAATTAGAAATTATCAGTCATGGGGATGTAAAGTACAGCATGGAGACTAGAGTAGCCAAAGAAAACATGCATGATCCATGGGACAATGGTGTGGGGATTGCCTGAGGGAGTTGGGGGCTGGGTGGAGGGGGCAAAGGGGGGAAAATTGGGACAACTGTAATAGTATAAACAATAAAATATAATTAAAAAATTAAAAAAAAATAAAATTAGAAATTCTCCTTAGATAAAAAAAAATTTTTGCCTCTTAAATAAAAAATAATGCATTTCATTGTAACAATCTGACACGGTGCACAAGTGCATGGAGCCACAAGTGACATTCCCTCTTGTTTCTTTTTCGGTACCGCTCTCCCAAAACCAACAGTTTGGTGTGTGAATTTTCAGACTTTTGTGTCACATGTATATCATCTTATATATGCTATTTTTATACAAATGTACATTTCTTAATCTGAAGTTACTATATATTGTTTTTAATTTGAATTTGGGAAATACTTCCAAGTTAGTACATAGAGATATATCTCATTTTTAAAATGGCTGCATAAAT